TTTTACCGGCTGCCCTTGGAGCCGGGACTGCTGCATCGCAGTTATCAAGGTCAATGGGGTTGCCGTCGCCGGCTGCCCCTATAGTAGGTCTGACGTCAGAGAGATAGAACTGCCTAGCCGTCCTCTGGTCCCCCTTGAGGGAACCGACTGTACCATCGTCCTTTTTAAATTTGACAAGCATGAGGGAGGGAACGATGACAGCCTTTGATTCATTGAGGGCCGGACGGCCGAAAATCATGTTGTAGGCGGCAAGCTCTTCTACAACCAGGAATTTGATTACCATGTGGCGTCCTACCCCCTTTTCACCCAGCCGGATGAGAAGATCTATACTCCCTACCGGATGCACTACACCTCCCCCAAAACCAACAAGCGGGTGGGGCGCCTGGTGCATGCTATTGGATTTTACTTGAGCTTGGTCAAGCACTGATAGCTGATTAGGTCAGACGAGCTCCCGGTATCTATAAGGATCCGGCCAACTCTCTGATTGGCAACCTTGCATTCGATGACTATGGGGTCATCGTGAGGCCGTCTGACCTTGCCCCGATCCTTTTCAGAAATAAGGACCTCAGGAAATATGTCTTTCGACGCCTGGGTCTCCTCAACTGAGTTAACCAGCTTCCTGATGTTGTCTTTGGTGCCCCAGATAGTGGGACCCCACCGGCAAAGCCGCCTGCTATTGTGAAGATAGTCTCTTCATCCGTTTCTGAATTTGCAAGAACCGCTTTTGCCGCCTGCCCTTTCTTGGCCAGGGTGTTGCCCTTGGCTTTGGGCAGGTAAGACTTTAGAGTCCCTTCGTCGGCCAGACGGTCTAATAGCCGCCTGAGGCTATAGAAACCATTAGTGTCATGGCCAACATCCTCATGGTACTGGCAGTATTTGCTTTTGTCCCGGCTGCCTACGGGGCTTTTCATCACAGCCGGCTTGTCGAGAGACATCCGGTCCTTGATCTCCATGAGGATGGAGGAGCAGTCCTTTGTGAACTCGTACTTGGGGACGTACGGTTCAGATTTCTGTCTGAGCTTCTGAGCCGGCTGACCAGATCGGTCTGCCGCCCAGACCTCCTTTCTCTTCTTTTCTTCCTTTTTTGCCGGCTGATGTTGTTGTTGCCGGCTGTCTCTTCTGTCGGATTTTTTGGAATCCGACGGCTGCTTTACAGCACAAAGCTCCGTCGCCTGTATGTAGGCTTCAGATTCCATTAACGCCTTTTGGAGGGTGGCTACCCTTTTCCGGACGAGATCAAACTTGAAAGTCGACCCATCCTTCAGACCTTTAAAGAAGTTTGTGTAAGCCACCTCATCAGACAGTCCTTGAATCTGAATTCTCATCAGATTGAACCGCCTGACATACGACCGGAGTCCTTCTCTGTCACCCTGCTGTATTGCCCCCAGATCGAGGCTTGTCTTTTTAGCCGGGATGTTCATTGAGAAGTTTGACGTAAACAAGTACGCCAAGGTCTTGAAGCTGTTGATGCAGCCAGCTGGTAAGTTACCAAACCACCGTTGGGCAATGCCCTTCAGGGTAGCCGGGAAGCATCGGCACCAGACGACATCATCCAACCCCTGTAGGTACATGAGGTTGGAATAAGCCATTGAATGATCTTCTGGGTTGGAGGTACCATCATAGGCCCCTACCAACACGTTTTTTATCTTGGCCGGCTGTGCCGCCTGGGTTATCTCAGGGGAGAACGCCGAGGGTTGTTCTCCCAAGTTTAGGAGGCGCTGCTGCCAGTCCATGAGTTGGAACGGCTGCTGCACATTTCTGCCAAACGGACCCGTTTGGGTAAAAGGGGATCCACCCAGCCCATTCGGCGAACGGAACAGACCAGGCTGGATCACTTTGGGTCCAGACCGGGCGGATGGTTCGCCCGTCTGACTCCCTAGACTTGTTCTTGTACGCCTGTTAGAGGTGTCCAGAAACTATTAGGAAAGGTCGACGTTGAAGCCGACGCAGACGCCAGACTTCTCTTCTCTTGGAGAAACGTCCGGGCGTCAGAAAACACCTTTTTGGAACCATCCGGCTGCAAGTGCCGGATGGGTTTTCTAGGCTCTGCTTGCGGGAAGCGGAGCCGATTTTGATCGAACCGAAGACCTTCCCCCTCCTTCGGCTTTAGATGAGGGGTAGGGACTCGGTCTTTAATAGCCTTCTTGCTAGAAGAAGGCTGCTTGGCCGGCTGGCTCCTCTTGGGAGTAGCTGACCGGATGAGGTTCTGGATCTCGCCCTTGAAACTATTCATGAAAGTCATGAGTTCGTTCCGAGTTACGGGAGCAGAATCCTCTGCCGCCTGGGCAGCCCCAAACGTGTTGCCGGCTGGGTTGCTTGGAGCATCTTGGATGCTTTCCCGTTCCTTCTTATCCTTGGAACGGGTGTGCTTTGTTCTGAAGGACCCGTCTGGGGCCACATAGGTGTTGAGTTCGTACTCATCACCGCTGTCATGGTCCGTCTGGACCTCAGGCTCAGTCGATGGTCGCCTGTCCTGATCCGGTGTTACAGGGTTAGAAGCCATCTCAGAAGTACTCTCCCCACAGACGGCGCCAAATGTTTCGGGGTTTTTCGATGTGTCCTGCGGGAGAGTTACAATTCCAAGAATGCCCTTCGACCGCCTGTACCTGCAAAACCACGAAGACTCCGGTTGGGTGGAGCTCCGCCTCCGACGATCAAGTCAGTGATGTACGGGAGGAAGAAAGTGCGTAAGAAGGGTAATTACTTCTCGCGTAATGGGAGAAATCCGCAATTAAGATTGCTCGGTTTTAGTGTAATATGTATTTAGGATAGTATTGAATTGGAAGAAATTGAATGTAAGTGAATTCTTTTAGAAGGAATTGAATGCCCATTAATGAGGATTCCCCCACTATTTATAGTGGGGAGCATTGGTTCCCCATTTAGGGTTCCTAGGACACGTGTCAGCAGGGGATTGGAGCCCTGCTAACCAATGGCGAGATGCCACGTGTCGCACTACCATTGGGCCACGTGGCTGGGGTTAAATTACCCCAAACAGGATCCCTTCATATATATATATATATATATATATATATATATATATGTATGTACGTGTATATATATATGTATGTACGTATATATATGTATGTACGTATATAATATATATGTACATATATAATATATATGTACATATATATATATATATGTACATATATATATATATATATATATATATATATATATATATATATATATATGTATATATGTATGTATGTATGTATGTATGTATGTATATATATATGTATACATATATATGCCCCAATGACTTGAAACCAGCTATAGGGATGAAGTTTAATAATCTTGAAGAGGGCCTTGAATTTTACGAAAGTTACGCATTGCTGTTAGATTCAACACAAGGAAGTCTGCAACTAAAAGACAAAGAAGCAAAGAATTGAAATCACAATATACCTTATGCAGACAAAGAGAAAAGAAAGGCTACTGTTGAAGAAGATTTAAATAACAAGGAAGGGGAAAGCAATGAAGAAAAAACTTCAATCAAAAGGAAGAGACTCGTTACTCGTGTTTGGTGCAAGGCACATATTGTCCTAAAGCATTGTGGTGATAACAAATTCATAGTGACACAATTTCATGAGGGACATACTCATGTACTTTATACACCTAGTTGCAATCTCTTCCAAAAATAAGGAAGGAAATGAACATATTACACAAAAAAATAATTGTGAATAATTCTAAGGTAACACTTCCAAATTCTCTTATGTTTCATGAATTCTCTATATGTTCTAATAAAAGCTATTTGCTCATTTGACAAATGAGCAAATAGTTATTTGCTCATTTGAAAAATGAGCATTGAATTGTTTGCTCATTTGAAAAATGAGCATTGAATTATTTGCTCATTTGACAAACTATTTTGTTCTTTAAATAAGTGAATATTTGTCCCGTTACAAGTTTTCAAATGATGAAGGAAATTGTTGGAGGATATGATAACATTGGTGCATCTAAGCAAGATCTCAAAAATTTTCATAGAGATTTAAAAACATACATTCAAGGAAGCAATGCTCAAATGTTCGTGAATAACTTTACCAACAAAAAGCTAATATGCAGCGCTTTTTTCTTTGATTTTGAGATGGATGAAGATTATTGCCTTTGTAGAGCATTTTTGGCAGACCCCCTTTGTAAAAAGAGTTATGCTCTATTTGGTGATATGGTATCCTTTGATACCACATACCAAACCAATAGGTAATTCATAATAATCAAAATTCATTTCTATGTTATAACTATGGCTTAACTTAATGACTTTGTTTTAAATGAACTTAGTATAATTGTTTGCTTACTTCAATGTGAAAAGTGAATATCTCCATAAGTCCAATATTCTTTGATAAGAGTCTGTATGTGGGCATTGAATTGTATGTTCATTTGACAAATGAGCATTGAATTATTTGCTCATTTGACAAATTGAGCAAAGAATTGTTTACTTATTTCACAAATGAGCATTGAGTTATTTGCTCATTTGACAAATGAGCATTCAATTATTTGCTCATTTGACAAAAGAGCAAAGAATTGTTTGCTTATTTCACAAATGAGCATTGAGTTATTTGCTCATTTAACAAATGAGCAATCAATTATTTGCTCATTTGTCAAATGAGCATTGAATTATTTGCTCATTTAAAATTTAATCTGAAACAGGTACAACATGGTGATTACTCCATTTACAGGGATTGACCATCATAAGAGCTGCATTACTTTTGCTGTTGGTTTCATAGAAAAGGAAGATATTGTGTCATTTCAGTGGCTGTTCAGATCATTTCTCAGGGCAATGGGTGGAAATGAACCTAAATGTCTGATCATGGATTAGGATACAACATTGAAAATTGTTATTAGTAGTGTGTTTCAGAAGACTGAGCATCGATTTTGTATGTGGCACATAATGAAGAAGTTATCAGATAAGGTGGAGAAAACAATCATGCAGGAAGAAACTGGTTTCCTAAAAAAACTTATGTGCTTGTGTTTGGCATCTTGAAATTAAACCTGCTGAGTTTGAAGAAATGTGGAACAAGGTGATGGTTGAATACCACTTGGAACAACATGAGTGGTTAGGTTATGTGTACACGATAAGGGACAAGTTGATTCTGGCATATTTCAGAGATGTGTTCCTTGGAGGAATAATGCGTACAACATCAAGATCCGAAAGTGAAAACAACTTTTTTTGCTCCTTTATCAATCCTCATGTGTCACTTGTTGAGTTTTACTTGAGATATAAAGCTGCAATTGATGCCCAAAGACACACTCAAGGTCAGAATGATAATGATTCAAAGCACAAATATCCTGAGTGCAAAACATCACCATGGATAGAAAAGCATGCCTCACATTTATATACTAACTCTGTCTTTTATGAATTTCAATATGAGGTTGAAATTGCTTGTTTTTCTTGTGGTGTTGATGAATTGAATAAAGTAAATGGATTGGAAGTTTCAAAAGTAAGTGAAGGAAATCGGACTAGAACATTTGATGTTGTTTTAATTCAACTAACTATGACACCACATGTTCTTGCAAGCTGTTTTATAGGCAAGGAATTCCATGTAGACATATGATTTGGGTTTGGAAAGCAAAAAGGTTTGAAACCATTCCTAAGAAGAATATGCTACACAGATGGACTACTAGGGCACTGAAGAAACCAATTTTTGACTTAGGAGGAAATCTGTTGGAGCAATGTGCTAATATAATTGATAAGAAAAAATTGTTAAATGATTTATGGTCAGAGATACACACTTGTGTAAGTTTGGCAGAAGGCAATGATGAAGATATTTCAAGACCTTGTGATAAATCTTCAAGGATTAAGAAAGGATTTGGAAGCTAAGAGGATTGCAAGAAATAATGAAACAACAACTGGAAGTGCAAAAAACAAAGAACAAGACATTGAGCTATTGATTGGAGCTAGTGTGCCAATTGAAATAATTGTCAAACCTCTAAAAATTTCAAAGAATAAAGGGACTAGAGTTCATGTATCAAATGAAAAGACTTCAAAAAAGAAAGGGACTGAGATTGATGTGTCAAATGTTGAAACAAGAGGTAGAAGTGCAAAAAGGCTGAAGGGAGAAAAAGAAAAGGCTGTAGAACAAAACCAAAAAAAGAAGAGATTATGCAGAGGTTGTGGTGAATTGAGTCATCTTGATATTAGAAATTGTCCAAAAAAAAGTGTAATGATACTTTTATATACATATAAGATTTAATATTTTTAGCACATCCCCTCATTCTTTATCGAACATATAGAAATTTTGTGTTTTTAATTTTGTTGAAATATTGTTGATTTTATATTTCAAAGGAGAAAATACTTAGTTGCTAATTTAACAAATGAGCAAAAACTTAGTTTCTCATTTCTCCAATGAGCAAATAGTTAGTTGCTTATTTGTCAAATGAGCAAGCATTTCTTTAATCATACATTAAATCAACAAGCATTTCTTTACTCATTTGTAAAATGAGCAACCATTAGTTTGCTCATTTGTCAAATAAGCAAATAATTAGTTACTTATTTGTAAAATAAGCAAACGTTTCTTTGATTATTTGGAAAATGAGCAATTAATTTTTTGTTCATTTAGCAAATGAGCAAATATTTAGTTGCTAATTTAACAAATGAGCAAAAACATAGTTGCTCATTTGTCAAATGAGCAAATAGTTAGTTCCTCATTTGTCAAATAAGCAAACATTTCTTTAATCATTCATTAAATCAAGAAGCATTTCTTTGCTTATTTGTAAAATGAGCAATCAAGTATTTGCTCACTTGACAAATGAACAAATATTTTTTTACTCATTTGTCAAATGAGCAAATAGTTCAAATAAACGCTAGGTATAAATGACAAAGTATTTCAAGTAAAAGATAAAAAAATCCAATTTCGATTTAAATATAACCACCACAAAAGTCACCATAATAAAAGTCACCACAAAAGATCCAATTTCGATTCAAATATAACCACAATTTTTACATCATTCAAAGACTAAACAAAGATCTACTTTTGATTCAAACTAATTATCTAATTTCGATTCAAATCAACACTACCAAACTACTTAAAGGTTGATAAAATCATTCTTTCTCTACTTCCCTAAACCTAGAAAGCCAAATCAACACCACCAAGTATCTAAATCAACACTACACTAAGTAAAATACTGAGGTTTCACTAACAAGTAGCTTTCTTAAGCCTTTTCTTCTTTTCTTCTTCAGCCTTTTCTTCTTCAGCCTTAACATAAACTTTCTTCTGCTTTTTCTTCTTTTGAGGAATTTCTTTAACGGACTGAATTGTGTTTACTTCACTTGAAATTATTGACAAGGTGTACTTCACATGAAGTTTTTCTATGATTATCATCTATAAGAAATAGAAAAAGGAAAAATAAAGCAACAAGAAAATTTTAAAAAATATAAATGCAGGAAGGAGCGTGAAGCAGGAAGTAGAAGAATAGAATAGAATAGAATATATCCTAAATGACCATGACAATACATAGAGCTATGTAACCAGAATTTTGAACTTTTTAAGCACTATTAGTGCTTATATTAAAAAGGATGAAGTGACCTAGGCAAAGTCCATAGCTTAAAGAGCAATACAAAACGCAAGCACACTGAAGATAAAGTGGAAATCATGATATACAAAATAAAAGCCAATAGTACAACAAATACAATAAACAAATGCACATGTTATACAGGTAAAATAGTAGAATATGAAAACTAGCAAGGCGAGCTGCAAAGTAGAGGTGAAGGTTATTCCCTTACAGATGATAAGCACTAAGAAACCCATATATTGGCCATAGCCAGAATTCAATAAAAGAGGAAAATATCATCATTTGAAAAACGAGCAAAGAACAATTTGCTCATTTGACAAATGAGCAAAGAATAATTTGCTCATTTGAAAAATGAGCAAATAATTGCTTGCTCATTTGAAAAATGAGCAAATTATTGGTTGCTCATTTGACAAATGAGCAAGATTTATTTCCATAAGCAAGACCAAAACATCTTATTATTAATGATACTATAATATGAAAGACTTACATTATTCTTCTTCAAGCTTGAAGGCCACTTTGACAAACCCATGTATGTTTCCATCCATAAACCTCATCAATGCAACTCCACAGTGCAAATATTTGATATCTGTAGACTTCCAAGGAGAATCAATCACAACATACTCAATGCGCTTGATATCGCTTGACAACACAGAGCTCTGTACATTTCCTCCATATTGCATGAAATTGCAAAATGTACTTCTCTGAAAATAAACAAATCAAATGAGCAAACGTAATAGATATTTCTAAAATCTAATCATTTTACCGAAATAAGCAAACATAATGTTAATAGACATTAACTTTTAAGTCGTACCAAATGTTTTAAAAGTTGTGTGTGATCTCCAGAATCTTCACTGTAATCAATAATCTCGATATTACCATACTGTGTGGTAGTGTTGAAACATACCAAATAATAATGATCTCCTTCGTAAACCGGGAAGAAGAAAAGTTGAATGTCTTTCTTTGGGACAATAGTTTGGTCGTATAGCTTCTCAGCAACCTCACGAAACATAGCATTCAGATGACTAACAGAATCAAGCTCATAATGAACAAGACACTCCTACATGTATAAGAAAGAAAAAATAAAATTAAATACAACAGGAATATTGTAGAATAATTCAATAAAAAAAAATAAATGAAAGAATATGAACTTACAGTAGCACTAAGCTTAAAAAAGAAACAAGCAGGAGAATTTGAGTCTCTAAATTGCTCATAATAATTCAGAATACTACACCAAGCATTAATGATTTTTGAATCAATTTTATTTTGAGTATAAAGCTTTTCAAGTTGAAATCTCATGATTTCAACATCATCCTCTCCATTAAATTTGGATAAAAATACTTGTTCACTGCATAAAAGAATTAAGAAAGTTAGTATCACTAAAACAAATGGGAGTTAGTGTACAAGATAACAAATTATATAATAAAAAAAATACTTACAAATGATTTTTATCATCATCAAACATAGCTTCTAAGACACCTTTCTGAACTTCTGATAATGTAGAGTAAATGTTGATAATCCGTGAATTAAAAGGTGATCTAAGCAGCATTGATGGTTGAACTTTGCGCTTCTTTGGAACAGGAACATCAGCAACAACTGAAGCAGAAGGACCAACATCTCCACTCACAGGAGCAACTGAAGGTCGTACAGTTGTTGGGGAGTTCTCCAGATCACCCCTATTTTGAGAATTTAATCATAAACTGAAAGTAGGAGTTCTAAATCCTTTTTTAACTGAAGATCTCAAACTAGATGGAATACTTGAACCTCCTTCAGCTTTTTCAGTTTCAACTACAATAGTAGGACCTTCATTTTTAGGAAAACTAATTGCTATCTGAACACTTTCAGCAGCAATCTTTGTAACATGAATGGATTTTGTTACGGTTGGACAATCAGCCCTAGCAAAGACTGAGGATTTAGCATTCTTCTCATTAGCTGAAATCTTGAAAAATCTATCCTAAGGTTCAATGACAGCCGGATCTTTCCAACACTCATCGTCTTGGCTAAAAGAAAGGCTATGATTTTCCGACATAGCTTGGGAACTCAATCTTTGCTCGTCACAAATACCCTTGGCATTTTACATCAGCTTTCGTATTTTCTCATTGTGAGGAAAACACTTGACAGCTTGTTCATGCTTTTTATTAAAGTCCATGTATGCCGACACTAGGTTAGTCGAAGCTGCTGCAAGATCCATAAGGCATTTCTAGAAAAAAAAAAACATAAGTAAAATAAATATAAATCAAAAGACTAATAAGAAATAAGAAATAAGAAAAGTGAATATCAAATAATCAAAGTCATATAAAATGAGCAAATTAAATTTAATTACACAAATCAATAGTAAAGTTTATGCTCATTTAACAAATGAGCTTTGACAAATGATTATTGAATAGAAAAGTTATTGCTCATTTCCTTGATTTCAAAATCTGATTTCAGCTTTGATTTCAAATTCTGATATAAAAAAATTGATTTCAAATTGATTTAACTACCTTCTTTGGATCTTGTTCATTTTATGGACCAACTGGAACTGATGTTTCCTAAAAACAAAACACAAAACAAAAAAAGAAAAAGAAAGTAAGAACATGTTGATACCAAATACCTCAAACAAATATAGACAAATGATTATTTGCTCATTTGTGAAATGAGCAATAAATTATTTTCTCATTTAACAAATAAACAATATTTGTACCTATTCTATTCTACAAGAAAAGGCAAGATTTGTACTAATTCTATTCTAGAAGCAATGCCAAAGGCAGAGAAAAGCTAAGTAGATGTCCTAAATAATTAATATTAATTATTTGAAAGTAAAATACCAGTTTTGGTTGTTTGCTGCTAGAAGGACCAACAACCTTCAGATTTTTATCAACAAGTCCAAGCCTCCCCTTATAAATTTCCAACTTCTCACGACTGGACAACATATTGGTTGTCCAACCTTTGAGAACTGGAGTTTCTCGTTTGGCTCTAACATCCTCAATGATAAACTGATCAACATATACAAGCTACAAAAAAGTAAGATAAGAAAAATTAGTACATTTAAATTAAACAAATAAATAACAATTAATACATAAAAAATTAAAAAAACTTAGATACCAGCCCCACCCCCTACTACCACCTGCCTACACAAACCTGACCCCCCTTCTCCTTGGTCACATTTCAATTCAGTAGCTGATATCAATTCTAATTTCAAATTTTGATTATGGAAACTGATTTCAAAATCTAATTTCTAAATCTAATTTCATAATTTGATTTCAAATTCTATTACAGGTTGTGTGTGCGCGTTGTATGTGTATATGTGTGTGTGTGTGTGTGTGTGTGTGT